ATGCGTCCGTCTCCTCCCCTCCTCCCGAGTCCCCACACAGGTTTACGAGTGCTGTGAGTTCTTCCGAATAGAGTATCAGCTGAACCACCTCGTTGCCTCTCATGCCACGCTATGCAACAACGCAGTACCCTCCTCCTTCCCTTCCACCACAGGTCAACGAGTGCTGTGAGTTCTTCCGAACAGAGTATCAGCTGAACCACCTCGTTGCCTCTCGCGCCAAGGTGCACATTATATGCATCTGTTTCCCCTTTTCCGGCTCTTCCGCTTCCCTCCTCTCCTCCCTTCATCTCCCACAGATCGATGAGTATTGTGAGCTTTTCCAAACAAAATACCAGCTGTACAATCTCATCGCACCACGCTTATGGTGTCCCACATAACATGCTTCTCTTTGCCCCGTCATATGGCCGTCCCTGCCCTCCGCTCACCACCCCTCCCCCCTACATACCTCAGGTCGACGAGTGCTGTGAGTTCTTCAAAACAGAGTACCAGCTGAACCACCTCATCGCCACACTCACCAAGCCGCAAATAACATGCTCCGTTTGCCCCTTGTTATGCCCTTCCCTGATTCCCTCCCTTCTCCTCTGTACACAGGTTGACGAGTGCTGTGAGTTTTTCCGAACAGAGTACCAGCTGAACCATCTAATCGCCACACTCACCAAGCTATGCAACAACTCAGTACCCTCCTCGTTCCCTCCCACCACAGGTCGCAGAGTGCTGTGAGTTCTTCCGAACAGAGTATCAGCTAAACCACCTCATCGCAACGCTCACCAAGCCGCACGTGGCTCTGATCAACGGGGTGGTGTTTGGCGGTGGTAACGGCATCTCCGTGCATGGGGCATTCCGTGTCGTCACTGAAAACGCTGTGAGTGTCTGCGTCTGTGTGTGTATGTGAGGGAGAGTGTGAGTGAGTGAGTGAGTGAGTGAGTGAGTGAGTAAGTGTGAAGGCGGACGTGAATGTCAAACCAATCGGCGCTCTGCTCAACGGGGTGGTGTTTGGCGGTAATTAAGGCATCTCTATGCATGGGGCGTTTCGAGTGGTCACTGAGAACACTGTGAGTGAGTGAGACTTGTACTCGTGTAACTGTGTGTATGTGAGTGTGAGTGTCAAACCAAGCTGCACATTACTTTCACTCTCTCCCACCCTCTCCCACCTTCGCCGCACCCTTGCCATACCCCTTCCTAATTAGAATCTTAGATGTCTCGTAATTGCTTCAACTCCATCCCCCATCAGCTCTTTGTCGTGCCTGAACTGCCATTGCCCTGAATCTTGATGTAGGTGCCTCATTCTTTCCTCTCATTCCACCTCACCTCACCTCACCTCTCCTCTCCTCACCTCACCTCACCTCACCTCACCCTCTCCTCACCTCTCCTCACCTCACCCTCTCCTCACCTCACCTCCCCTCCCCTCACCTCACCTCACCTCACCGCGCCTCTCCCCTTCCCCCATCAGCTCTTCGCCATGCCTGAAACGGCCATTGGCCTGCATCCTGACGTCGGTGCCTCCTCCTTCCTCTCGCGCCTCCCCGGCCACATGGGTGAGTGGCCTCCTCCCCATCATACCTCCCCCTAACCTCTTGGGCTGGCTCCAGGAAACCCAGACTGCTTCTCACTGCAGCTTAGCTAGCTGTGCTTTCACTACGAATGGGTGTCGTCTACACCTTAGAAACTTCTGAATTCACAAGTCGCTGCAACACAATCCAGTATCCGTACCAACAACACCCTGAACTGCGTACAACCCATCTCCCTTGTTTCTCACTCCCTTCCCCTTCCTCCCGTTCAATACTTCCCCCATCCCTCGCAGGCGAGTACTTAGCCCTAACGGGGGCCCGGGTGCCCGCACCTGACATGCTTGCTTTGGGCCTAGCCACCCACTTTGTACCTTCGGACCGGCTGCCGAGCCTCGAGAACAGGCTCGGGTGCCTAGGCACGGGAGATCCCGAAGCGATCCATCTGGCAATCCAGGAGCATGCCGAACGTGTGCTTCCCACTAAAGGGGGGATTATAGCGAGGGCTGCTGCGATCGACGCCTGTTTTAGTAAAAGAACAGTGGAGGGAGTTTTCACCGCTCTTTTGAATCACGCGTCTGCCACGTCAGCGACGCACCCGGGGTGGAGTGCTGACGATGCGGTGTGGGCGAAGGAGACCCACGCGCTGCTCGCAAAAATGTCGCCGACGGCGCTAAAAGTGTCTTTTAGGAGCGTGAGGGACGGCAGAATGGAGAATCTGGTGCAGTGCCTGCAGAAGGAGTATCGGCTGAGCGTGCGCGCTTGTAAAGAGGCGGTGACGGGAGATTTCTATGAGGGCGTGCGGGCTGTGCTGGTGGATAAGGACGGCAATCCCAAGGTGAGCCTGCAGCGGACACAAGATAAGACCAGGAAGCGGGAGAGGGAGAGTGGAGTGGAATGGAGAGGGAACTGAATCTGGTGGGGGGGGGGGGTTCGGGGTGTGATTTTGATGGGGTTTGGGGTTTGGTCGTGGCTGGAGTCTGGTTGTCAGTGGGTCAGTGGGCATGCTTAGGAACTTAGGGGATGGGAGTCGGGCACAGGGCCTGCAGAAGGAGTATCGGCTAAGCGTGCGCGCTTGTAACGAGGCGGTGGCGGGGGATTTCTATGAGGGCGTGCGGGCCGTGCTGGTGGATAAAGATGGCAATCCCAAGGTGAGAATGGGGCATGGTGGAAAGGGGAGAGGAGAGTAGGGGAGTGCAACGAGGCAGTGACGGGGGATTTTTATGTGGTAGTGCAGGTTGTGCTGGTGGATAAGGATGGCAATCCCAAGGTGAGACTGAGTTAAGGTGGGTGGGTGAGAGAAATGTAGGTGGAGGGAGGAAAGTAGGGGAGTATAACGAGGCTGTAAGAATGGATTTCTTAGGAGGGAGACTGAGGGAGTGCAGGCTGTGTTGGTGTAAAAGGATGGCAATCCCAAGGTGAGGTATGGCATGAAGTGAAGAGGGAGAGGAAGAGGGAGGGGAAAGATGGGAACGAGAGGGAGGCGGATGAGGAGAGGGTGAGGTTTGGCATGACGTGCCTTTGTGTGGTTGGAGTTGGGGGTCAGTTGTTGGTATTGTTGTGGGCAGTTCTGGTGGAGAGGGATGGAAGCCCACGGTAAGATAGAGGCAATGTGGGTGGGGGAGGAAATTGTAGGAGGGGGAGGGATGTTGATGAGGGTGCAAGGGATGCTGATGAGGGTGTTAGGCGTGTGCTGTGTAAGTGTTGTGATGCTCATAATCCAAAATCCAGTCTTCAGACGTTGCTGTTAAAGTGCCGTGGAAAGAGGACAGTTGGACGGGGATGTTAGGGCTTTGTTGGGAGGTGTGAGTGGTGGCAGAACTTTTGTCGTATCCTTTCTGACATCTTTGGTGAGTTGTGTCACTGTGCAGTGGAATCCGGCTCAGCTCTCCCAGGTATCGGCGCGCACCGTCTCCGACCTCTTTGCACCGTTGCCCCCAGGGGAAGAGCTCAGTCTGCCTGTGCGTGGCAGGGAGACGAGTGGTGGTGGTGGTGCACGCTTGTGATCGGCCGTGTGGAGATTACTTTGCAAGGCTGCGGGGACATGTTTTGGATGTTCCTGGCTTCGGTCGTTGATATGTCAGATAAATAAACATTTGCAACAGATGACCATAGGTGACCTCTTTGGAGATACCCTATGTCGCACTAGTTGCCAAACCGTTTAATCCAATGACGCGTATTAGCTGGGCTTGTGTGAAGCAAAATAACAGCAAGCTGACGTGGAAACCCTACGTTGGCTTGTTCGTTTGTGGGTGGCATTCCCGTCGTCGGTAGCCATTCAGACGCCACGTCACAAGTACGGCAGGCAGCGGCAGGGGGAAGGGGTTTGCATTGCAACTGAGAAATGGAACTTACAAAGCTAAGGCACGAGTCCCCTAAACGAAGCCCTGAACGGCTGGCTGACAAGTCGACGCAGCTCAAGGCCAGAAAGTTCAAAGGGGATTGGTCGGTTCAAAAGTCAAGGGGGTTGAACGAGTGCTGAGCTGTGGGGGCACGCTAGACGTGCGGGCCAGGCCTGTCGAAGTTTCTGGGGCTCGTACTTGCGCTCCCCAGCTCCTCCGCATCTGACCCTTGGTTGGGTGTAGGTGTTCGTTTTGGCGCCCTTAACGGTCACGGGCGCACCCCAAAGTGAAAACTTGAAATCCGGGCATATTTGACGTTTGCACTTAAACTGTATTTTACTGTGATACGTGCAGTTTTCAACTTATATTAGATGTCAGTCATACCTAATACGGTACTACACATGTCTTCAATAGTCATAAAACCTACCTTGCCTGCAATGTTCTAGTTTTCACTAACTACAGATTTAGCATGCAGATTTAACTACCCTACTCTACCCAAACATGCAATGCAAGCCTATTTGGCAGGCTTCCTCCCCTTCCTCCCCTTCTCCTCAAACAAGGCATAGGCCGCTGCCCAGTCCACTGGGTAGTCTAGCATCTTCACCGTCATCAGCTCCCCCAGCCTAACATCAGTAAGAGCAACACGATCCCACGACTTAATAATGTTTTGGCGGGAGAAGCCCCTCTCACACTCAACAGTGCTGAGGGGCAACACAGAGACTGCACGCCAGAGGGAGACTATGGTGGGATAGTCATCCTTCCAGTCTGCCGTGCGCAGCATGTTGGTGAGAGCCTGATGGAAGCTCTGCTTCTTGAACTTCTTCTCCATGGTGGATGTAAAGAGGCGAATCTGCGGCTCTATGTCAGCAAGAGTGACTCCTGCCAAGGACATATACAACAAGGTTAGAACATGCCAATGTTGGAGAAAACCATATTCAAGGTTAGAACATAAACAAGGTTAGAACCTTTACAAGGTTCCTACTCTACCCCTCTCGTCTTACCAGGTAGCTTGTTCTTGAACATGTCAAGGAGCTCGGAGAGATGGAGCTTCACCCACGCGTCCTGCTCTCCTGCACGGTCGGGATACTTATCAGGGGAGAAAAAACCAACACCATCGAAATGGCGCAGATCCGCCATCCTCTTCCCCAGCGCCTTAATCAGGCGCTGAGCGAAACGCCTCGCCAGGTCCACGCAGGCCTCCAAGTCGCATCCCCCCCCCAGGGTTTTCAGGGTCGATGATGTCCTCGTGAAGCTCGATCTCGGCTTTTGCATGCTTGCCGTTCTCATCCACTCCCTTGAGCTCCATCTTGCGCTTGTCCTTGCTGCCGTGTGCAGCAAGGAACTTGTTCAGGCGAGAGGTGTTCGGCCCGTTGGATGCGCCGGGCTCGACGTAGTACTGCGACAGCTTGGTCTTCACCTTGTCGACATGGTTCTTCACCTCTGTAATGTCGACCTGAAAGCAAACAGAGCGCGAAAAAATTATAGCAAAGCACACAAGTCAAGAAGCGACAACGCCATGCCCATCTTCACCTTACCTTCTGCTTCTGGAAGGACAGATTCAGTCCGTTGAGCAGCGCCAGCACGTCAGCCAGGAGATACAGCATGTAGTGGAACTTGAAGCTGGTAGCGAGTTTCTCCGTCTCGCCCTTCTCCTTTGTCCACATCCACATCAGCACCGGCAGCACGTCACAGAAGCGACTCACAGCATCCCCGCGAGACAACCAACGGACGGTGCAGAAGCCTTGCACCTCCAGGTTCGTCTGCAGAATGACGTCCTGGAGATGCATGTAGGTCTTGTGATCGGTCGATGAACGCCCGAGACGCTCTGCAGTCTGGCGTATCATATGATCTACGACGTTGAACTCCTTGAAGCTCTTCGCGGCATCCTTGGCAGCCAATGCCTCGCTGCACAAGCACGAGACGTGCGTGAGTATGGTTGGGGAGGGAACAGGTGTACAATACAATCGGAAGCAGTGCAATGCGACCTTACCGATGCGCCACGCTGTGAATCGCCACCAGCCACGGGCAACGTTTCCGAAGCATGGCGACAACGCCGTTCTTCGCGCCAGTCATCACGGATGCACCATCCGTTGACACCCCGACAAGCTTGTCCAGCGACATGTCCTTCAACCACAAACATTTGACGATCGTGTCGTGCAGTGCTGCGGCGTTGCAACGTTCAAGCGACAGGAGAGCAAGAAACTGGGACACCACGGCCTCGGCTCTCTCAAACGTGACATACACGATAAGATGCTTTCCACGCGCGCGATCCGTGGATTCATCGAAGGAGAGGCTGTACCAGGCCGACTCTTTGATGTCCTCGAGCTGCTTGGCCACCAGATGCTCCGCCATAGCCTCTACGAACTCGCCGAAGGCGTATCTGCAATGAGCACCGAATGAAAATGTGAGTAAGTTATCCACAATAGAACAGCAGAAGTAGAACAAAGCAGAAGCATACGAACAGAAGCAAAAGCAGGAAATCAGGAGCAGAAACAGAGGCTAACAAGCACGTACCGCGAGTAATAACGACCGTACGATTCGTCGGTCATCATGTCGGGGCATCCTTGCTCCGCCATGAACCGCACCAGCATGGGGTAGAGCGCGATAGGTGCATCGTTCCGCGCAATCCAGTGAGCTCCTTGCATGCATTTGACGACCCTCGTCATGACAGGATCGATGCTGAGCATATTCAAGAGGCTGCGCTGCCTCACCTCCGTGCCTTCAGAGAGTCGTTCAGCTTCCATGGCCGCGAGGTGCACCTTGGACTGGTCATGGTTGCGGCACGACGACTTCTGAAAATCCCTTGCACCGACTCCAGCACCGCCAAAGGGAGACTTGGTGTTAGGAGCAAACTTACAGCAGACGGAACACTTCATACCATACTGGCGCTCATGTTTGTTGTACTTCAAGCTCAACCACGAGTACGTCTGCTTCCACGACGTGCTGAAGCGACGTGCAAGACTCCTCTCGGCCTCAGGGATCTCGGTGTCCAGGGGTACTTCTGCATCCTCTGCGATCGCATTGTCTTGCGCCTCCAACCCCTCATCAGAGGGTGGTGGCGGTACGCATCGTGCGCGCTTTCGCGTGTCTGGTGGCGGACTAGCGAAGCCTAGGTGAACCTGACGATAACGGGCTGCAGACCTCGGAGTAGACTGTGACGATGAGGCTTGCTGGGCGAGGCACGGGTCCAAGACTGAGATTGCTACGTCTAGCATGTCTTCAGCATCCGTGGCTACGTAGGGCTTGGTCTCGGTTGTAGTATGAGAATAAGAGAAGTTCGTCATGGGCAAAATTGGAGGAGGGGTTTCACCCTCGCTATGGTCCATGGTGGGAGATTGTGGCTGACGAAGGGAACGGGTTAGCTAGCGAATGTATAAATCTCGCGTGTGTGAACGAGGCGACACGAGCTTTACTCGGCATAGTTGGTGGGTGGAGGAGAATTGCCATAGCACGGCACGAACGAAGGTGGAGAGCAGAGAGCTTGGGTGGGCAGTACCGTGGAGGTGGTCAGACGGTGAAGAGAAAACATGGCACGAATAAAAGAGGAGAGGAGTGGGAGGTTGGGTGGGTGGGTGGGTGGTGGTGTATGGAATGCATGGTGGTGGAGAGGAATGGTGGCACGCACGAACGAAGGTGGTGAGAGAGCTCCTACGCTGGAGTGCTTCACTTCCTTTGAGGTGCTTTGGAGTTCTCTGTGGCTGATAAACTTAGCTAGATTCACCCAACCTAACCCTATGTGTCACAGCTGTAAACTGCGGCCAGCTCGTATTGGACGCTAAGGGAATGTTCGGGTGCTCCAAGGCTGACTGAGACACACTACACACACACGAGATTGGCTAGAAAACGCTAAGGGAAAAATCCCCTTGGCGCGCTCTAGTGCAGGCTAAGGAGAAAGGTGGGGGGGGGGTCTTGGGCACCCTGGGTGGGGGGGGTCCTACGAGCGGAAACCAAAACTTAGATAGGGGGGAAGGCCTGGTTTCGTCCCTTAACGCATCCGGGGAAGGGTCGAACGAAGCACTTAGTGGCACGGGTGGGGTACAAATTCAGAACTTGCCGCATTGGAGCTGGAGCGAAACTAGCTCTTAATGTTCAGGGCATTAAGGGCATATGCCCTTGAATCGACAGGCCTGGTGCGGGCAATTTCGTTTCTTTGGCGAGGAAAGCTGAGGAGCGAAGAGCAACTTCGGTGTACAGTAGCAATCAAAGCGGAGGACAGAATGATATGGCTGTTTTAGGGTGTGAGGACGTCTTATCACGGGAATTCAATATACGCCTGTACAATGCCCAGGCCTTTGTCCTGGCGACTCGGCTGTCACCGAGCGCTACAGATGTACATGAGCAACACTGGCTCTGATCGGTGGACCCTCTTTACTCGGAGTTAGGGCAACCGATCAGGGCCATTGTTTTGCAAGAAACATCTAGAGCCATAATAGCCAGTGTTGCAAAAACACTCCACGTTTGAAGGATTCCTCTCGTGGCGTTGCTACCCATGCATTCTTGCAAGTGCAACGAGCGCAAATAACCCGCTTCGCATCTCCGTTGCGCGCGTCGCGCATCGGTGGGGCACACTGGGGCGATGTCCTGATGGATGGCGAAAGCCGTCCAAGAAATGGCCGACGTGGTGCAGTGAAAGAATATCCCATTCCGTTCCTAAAGGGTATCTCTCGGCAGGCACCCGCATGTTTGACGCCTGGGTGTGGAAGCATCATGGCAGTCGGACGGATCGTCCCAATACAAGATGGGCTTGTCGTGCAGCATTGGTGTGCTTCTTGCATTTGTCAAGCAACCTTCTACTACTACCAAGTTTGACTCATATTCCGTGTCGCGACGCGAAACGAAATGGGGCAATCAAGGCGATACGTGATCCTTCTCGTGTGCCTGTGTCAGAACATTATAGCTTACTCATTTATGTAGGCTATAGTGGGGTATCCCATAGGGGGTACAACCCAGTTAGGGTTTCCTATTTGTACTCACTTCGTTCATAGTTCACTCATTCTCTCGTTCACTTCTTCTCATGGAATCAGAGCAGGTTCCCCTGTGGGAACTGTGCTTCGGGCCCACCACCTAGAACTTTTTTTTCTGCCCTGGCGCCCGCCCTAGCGCCCGCCCTAGCGCCCGCCCTAGCGCCCGCCCTTTCGAGCCGCCCGTTAGCGCCGCCCGTTAGCGCCGCCCGTTAGCGCCGCCCGTGCGGCTGCCCGTTCGCGCCGCCCTTTGCGCAGCCAGTAGCGCCGCCCGTGCGGCCGCCCGTTAGCGCCGCCCGTGCGGCCGCCCGTAGCGCCGCCCGTGAGCCGCCGCCCGTAGCGCCGCCCGTGAGCCGCCGCCCGTAGCGCCGCCCGTGAGCCGCCGCCCGTCGCGCCACCCTTTAGCGCCGCCCGTGCGCCGCCGCCCGTGAGCGCTGCCCGTGACGCAGCCGCCCGTGAACCGCCGCCAGTGACGCCGCCGCCCGTGACGCCGCCGCCCGTCACGTCGCCCCCCCCCCCCGTGACGCCGCCGCCCGTCCCGCCGCCCGCCCGTCACGCCGCCCGCCCGTGAGCCGGCGCTGCCCGCGAACCGCCCACCCGTGGGCCTTCAGCCCGCCCGTGAGCTGCCGACGCCGCCCGTGAGCAGCCGACGCCGCCGACGCCGCCCGTGAGCCGCCGACGCCGCCGACGCCACCCGTGAGCCGCCGACGCCGCCGACGCCGCCCGTGAGCCGCCGACGCCGCTGCCACTGCCGTCGCCCGTGAGCCGCCGACGCCGCCGCTGCCGCCCGTGAGCCGCCCTGGCCGCCCGCCCAGCCGCCCGTGAGCTCCCCGCGCGCCGTCCCAGCCGCCCGTGAGCCGCCACCGAGCCGCCCCAGCCGCCCGTGCCGCCGCCCGAGCCGCCTGAGCCGCCCGAGCCGCCTGAGCCGCCCGCGCCGCCCGAGCCGCCCGAGCCACCCGAGCCGCCCGAGCCGCCCGAGACGCCCGAGCCGCCCGCGCCGCCCGAGCCGCCCGAGCCGCCCGAGCCGCCCGAGCTGCCCGAGCCGCCAGAGGAGCTGCACTCCTGCTCCTGTTGGGCTATTGCTGCTCCTGGGCTGTGTACCTGCGCCGCTGACCTACCCGACTCTTCCTGCCCGGTGAGACTGTCAGCTGCTGTCATGGCCACCCCCAATGTCCTAGCTTTTGACGCTGAGGGTAGAGCCATTGACTATGCAGTCTGGATTGAGGACCTGCAGCTGTACTTACTGTGTGATGCGGTCGATGAGGTCTCTCTCTTTGACTTTGTCTCTGGCGCTGTCCCTGCCCCTCCTCCTGATGCTGATTCCGCCGTTCGCTCCAAGTGGGCGACCCGCGATGCTGCTGCACGTCTTGCTGTGCGTCGCCACCTCCCTTCCTCCGAGCGTGCCCACTTTAGTCAGTGCAAGACCGCTCAGGCCTTGTACGACGCTGTAGTTGCACGCTACTCCTCCCCTTCCTCCGCTACGCTAAGCCGCCTCATGCTACCTTTTATCTTCCCTGACCTCGCTTCCTTTCCCACTGTCGCTGACCTCATTACCCACCTCCGCGCTAGTGACGCTCGCTACCGCGCTGCCCTTCCTGCTGAGTTCCGCGCCGCCAACCCCCCTCCCATGTACATCACTCTCTACTTTCTTGTCACCCGTCTCCCTGAGTCCCTTCGTGTCGTTAGGGACCAGTTTCTCTCTGTCTGTCCCACCACCCTCACTGTCGACCTCCTTGAGGAGTCCCTGCTAGCGGCTGAGAAGAGCATAGTCGCTGTAGGGGCCTCTCGGGGTGACCCTCGCACCCCCATCTTTGAGGGGTGTTCTCCTTCCCCCCTGCTGCCCTCTGTCGCCTCTGCCGCTGCGGCCGACCTCGCTGGTTTTGAGTCGGTCGGTGCGGCGTCTGCCCCCAGCGGTAGACGCCGCTCTGGCAAGGGCAAGGGGGGCAAGGGAGCGGGTGGAGCTAGAGGAGGCAGTGGCGGAGGAGGTGGGGGTGGCGGGGGGAGTGGGGGTGGCGGTGGAGGTGGTGGCGGGAGTGGAGGTACTGGTGGAGGCGGTGGAGGCGGAGGTGGCGGCGGAGGCGGTAGCGGAGGAGGCGGGGGCGAGGGTACCAGTGGGGGCGGTGGCGGTGGAGACGGGGGCGGTGGTGGAGGCGGGAGTGGCGGTGGCGGCGGGGGTCGGAGTGTCTCGTCCCAGCGCAGCAGCTCTGGGGGTGGTCAGCGCCAGCAGCAGCAGCAGCAGCAGCAGCAACAACAGCGCTCTTGCACCGTCCCCGCCCCTCAGCAGCTCCGTGAGTGGTACTTGCAGCGTCAGCGTGGTGGTGCGTTTGGTCCCTGCCCCTACGTTCTTCGCACCGGCGACCGTGCGGGGGAGAGGTGTGGAGGCACCCACACAGCCCGCCGCTGCTTTGGCCGCCTGACCGACGCCTGGCGTCAGCAGTTTCCGGAGGCCGCTGAGATCCCCCGCTGGGGGAAGCTGTCTAGGGCTGGTGTAGCCATTTATGATCTTGACTTTGATGCTATTCTTTCTGCTATGTATGTTGTGACTGGTAGTGATGAGGATGACTGTTACCGGTGTTTCCCGCCCGACCCGGGCATTGGTACTGCTGGGTCAGGTACTAGTGAGGCTGCTGCTCTAGGTGCCAGTGCGTCTGTGCTCTCAGGTACTGGTGAGTCTGCCCTCTCAGGTACTGTGTCGGCTTCGGCCTCTCACACCTTCACACTTGACTCTGGAGCGTCTCGCTCCTTCTTTCGGGACCGCACTACTCTCACGCCGCTGAGTCGGCCGGTTGCGGTGTCCCTGGCTGACCCCTCTGGGGGGCCTGTCCTGTCTCGCTTCTCCACGGTACTTCCGTGTCCGGCGGCCCCCTCTGGCACCCTGTCTGGTCTCTACCTCCCCTCGTTCTCGACGAACCTGGTGAGTGGTGCTGACCTACAGGATGCGCGTGTCCACCAGTTCACTCCTGCTCGTCAGCGGGTGACCCACTGCACGGAGGCTAGCACGGGATGCCACCTGGCTACGTTTACACGTCGGCCAGGGTCGAGCCTGTACACACTGACCACTGCTTCTCCTCCAGGTACTGAGTCTGGTAGGGTCCCTTCGTCTGGTCAGGTGTTTGCCGCAGCGTCCAGGTCTGGTCCTGAGTCTTCCCCCTGTTCGTGTCGTCGTCTGTCTCACGAGACCCTCCTCTGGCACCACCGCCTTGGCCACCCCTCTCTGCTTCGGCTCAGAGGCATGGCCTCACGTCTTCTTGTGTCTGGTCTCCCCCGGTCTCTACCTCCCCTTCCTCAGGGCCCTGGCCCTGCCTGTGTCCCCTGTGTCGAGGGGCGCCAGCGTGCTGCCCCTCACTCCTCCCAGTTTCCTCCGA